GCCCGGAGCCCTCCTGGCTCGCCCGTGTGGGGACGCGAGCGGCGCCAGCGCACGGATGGCCCTGCCCGGGCGGACGCTGCACCAGCGCCGTGTCCCGCTGCGCAATGGGGGAGGAGGGGTTAAAAGTTTCCCTCGTGGTTCTGGCCCCAGCAGGACCAGCGGGGACGCGGTCGGTTTGCTCGGGGGGCAGGAGCGCACTGGGGCTTGGAGGCGGGTGGTGCATTGGTACGTGGGGGCAGGAAGTGCATTGTGTGAGTGGCTTAGCATAGGCACAGCGGAGCAAGAGGCTAGGGCGCTGGGTGGGTTCCTGTGTGTGTGTGTGAATGCGCCCCTGCATGAGGCGTGGGCGTAAGCATGGAGCGGCCTTGGCTAGCTGGGATTCAGTATGTGAGTGTGACCCCGAGCAGCACAGGTGAGGGGCTGTACATGGAAGGGCTTTGTTGTCTGCTTGTGTAGTGGCCAGTGTGCACCTGTCCGCCCAAGCACTGGAATGTGTGTCTGTGCGTGGGTGCACCAACCTATCTCGGTGTATGTGACTGAGCGCACGTTCTTTTGTGTGCTCCTGCATGGGTCTAGGTGAGCCTGCATAGCTGGGTGTGTCTGAGGTTGTGCCTGTCTGTACAATATGTGCGTTTGTGTACACAGAGTAGGTTTCCTGCCCCTGTAAAACCGGGCATTTCCTTTGAGAGAGTTATTGTTACACTTCAATTGTCCTTCGCTTTCTGATTCATTGGAAAGTATTATCATTGTAAGTTGATTGTTCCTACTTTATTTCCATCAAAATGTTGAATCACAAAACTGATCTAGTCAATAATGCTGTTTATCCTAAAGTTCTTGTCCAGTGCAACTTTCATATGGTGATTCCCCAACCATCACAGACCTCTTGTTTGTTGCTGCCTTTTTTATAACTTGTAGGCCAATTATTGCTATATCATTTGCATCATAGGCTTTCTATAAGTGATTTGGCAACGGTCAGTCAGCAGCAAAGATAGGATTTAGGTAGAGCTTCCCCATTCTTTGTCCCATTGGATCATAGTTTCTACTTAATATGATTTAATTAATTGCTTTATCTGAGCCATTCTGTGCTATGTTTTGTATGGTTTTTGCACTTATTCTTTAGTTTGTGGTCTTTGTTCCATGCTGCAACTCTAGAGCTATGCATGGATATAAAATTTGTATCCACATCCACAAAAAATGAGCATGGGTATCTGCATTGATACCGGTATATATGAAGTGGATATCTACAAACTTGCAGCATTCTGGATACAAAATTTGTATCGGCATCTGTATCCACAAAAATGAGCTGTGAATATCTGCAACCCTGCCTGTAGTATAGAGAGAATGACTGTAATGACCACTGTGCTTATCAAATAGATTCTCCCATTTGGTAACTATCATTAAAAAGAAGTCGCTTGCCTTTTTATTCACTGAAATATGTTAGATTTTCATTTGCTTTTCCCTGATGTTGGAGCATTTGTGTGTTTGTTTAGCAATAAAACACTATCCATTCTTCAGTTCTGATACTCTCCTTGAATCAATATTTGGTGGCATATGAAACTTCTTATGCTGTTTTTGACAATATTGCTCATTGGTGAAAAGCACTCAGAAAAGTCTACAATATAGCCTAGAAAACAAAGACTTCTAGCAACTTATCTTGGAATCAATAAATGCTGAAGAACTGTTTACAAATAAAACTGATTCAACAGTGTTCCCAAAACATCAATATTTATGTAACAAATATACTCCCTTGTTTATTTGAAATTTATTACATGAAAAACAACCATTTAACAGCTGGGTTCTAGTTTGGCCTGTTCCCTTTTAAAGAAAAGGCTTCTCTTTTGTTGTTGTTTTTTCTTACAGAGAGGATGATGGGTCATTCATTGCATGTCCCAGAATTTCTGCTTGTGTAGCTTGAGCATTTTCAAGCTGGCATCTCATTTCTTCCCTGATCTAAAGGGAAATGTAGCATAGAAATCAAGCTGTTGGGGGGCTAGAGGAGAAGAATCATTAGCCATAATAAATATGAGTTTCCTTGTCTTCAGTGCATATTTAAGTAAATCGTATTCCAACATCATTTTTTATTAAATGAGCCTGTGACTATTAGGTTAAGATTTCTGGTATGTTGTTGAACACTACGCTTTTTATTTCCTGACTTAGGGGTTCCAGTGGAAAAACTCAGTGGTACTGTTGCTGCAACACATTACATGATAGGTGGCTCAGGTTTCTCCATTTCATGCACTCATCTCTCCCCCACTTTGAAAAAAAATTGTCATTTTTGAAAGGAAAGTCTGAATTCCCTATCACTGGAAGGAAAATCTGCTAGATGCCCCTAGGAACTCTGTATTCAGAGAGCAGAAGCTGTACTTCAGCACACATTTCTCTGAAGGGTCTGACAGTTGCATCTCATCTGGAATTTCAAAAAGAATCCTGCTTCTTAATACTTCCTCAAGTAGTGAATGATACCAAAGCTTAAATAAAATGGAAAAGGCAAAGAAGTGCAGTTTTGCAAGCAAGGACACACTTAATTCACAGGGTTGATTAGCCTGTTCTATGCAGTCATTTTCACTCTTTAACAATGCCTTTGGGCTTTTATGCTCAGTCCAGATCTGCACTGCAGCACTAGATAAGTTTCCCACACACAAAAGCTCCAAAGCTTGTTTCTCACCAACAGAAACTTGGTCCAATAAAAGGTATTACCTCACCCACCTTGTTTCCTCATTGTACTCAGATCTGACAGGAGGCAATCTCTGCACTTTCCTTCCATGGGCAGGAAATATGAGCTGAAGATTTTACATCTATATGGGCAAAAGGAAGGTAGTGATTGAAGAATATACATTTTTCCTTCAAGCACCTGAAAGTTACAGGTTGACCCTCTGTAGTCCTGCACTCTTTAGTCTGGCAACATCCATGGTCTGGCATGATTTTAGTTATGTCCGCTTATCGTGGATGTGGCCAAGTTTCCTGCACTTCTATAAAGTTTTTCTAAAACCACCAGTCCTGGCTCTCAGTGTTCTGTGCTGTTATTTAGCTCTACCCCTAAATATCTTCTCAGAACCCCGTAAGCAGTGGAAGAGTAGGTAATGCTGCTACACAATATTGACCTTCTGTTGTTCAGCAAATTCTCTGGTTCGGCACTGGTGAGATCCCAAGGGTGCCGGATTAGAGAGAGAGGTTCAACCTATATATGGTCCCAATGACCCAGGGAAGGACAAGGAAAACCAAAAAAAGAATGGTTACCAGGGCATAGAAAATCCATCCCAAGTTTTATAGTCAGCGGATAATAGGGATGTTAGAAATTGGTTATTTTAATAACTGTGTAAACACTAAATTTCATAATGGTTACTCATGCCTCCCCTCTGGGCAGGGCCAGCAGCCAGTGTGCTCCCAGTCCCACTCCCGAGAAACCCCCTGCTACCCTAAGCTGTTGCCTCCACAATGGTCCCAGTTAAACACAACAACTCCCCCTTCCCCGTGCTCCGTGTTTAAAACTCAGACTGGCAGGCTGGCTCAGTCCCAGCCCGCCAATCTGAATTTTAAATGAAGAGCATGCAGAGGAGCCACCTGCCATCCTGTACTGCTGCCTCTGATACGGAGGCAGCACACGGGAACCGGTCCATCTGACACTTTGTTTTGTTGCCTTTGTATCAGAGGCAGTAGCAGCCCCATCTGTGGGCGGGGCAGGGGAGAGAGAGGGCCAAGCTCCCCATGAACAAAGTCTGCTCCTGCATCTCTGTGGGACATGGGCGCAACCTCTCTCTGCAGAGAACTCAGGGCCCCTGCGGACAGGAGCTGCTGCTGCACTATGCTGCTGGGTCCCACATGGATGGAGCTACTTCACCACAGACTGGCTCCTGCCTGCCACCCTGCTGCCTCTGCATGAGAGGCAGCAGCATGGGGTGACAAGCAGCTGTCGTACATGCACTTTATTTAAAACTCAGAGCTGCAGGCTGGGACTGAGCCAACCTGATGGTCTCAGTTTTAAATGAAGAGCCCAGGGGAGGGTTAGGGGAGTCAGGCATGGTTGCAACTAACTGGTTACCCGGGTAGCCATTACCATCACTAGTGGATACTGGGATAGACTTCAGAAATTCCTGGGTGTCAAAGCATGCAGAGCAAGCTTGATGAATAAAATGTATGTACTTCAGTATTAAGCATAAGAACCCGGACTACCTCATGCCTGTAGTCACTTACTTTTGTCCTAAATCAAGTGGGTTGGGAGCTACTGTCCCACAGAAAAATCAGTCAGGGGCTGCACACATGTGAGAAGCAAAAAAACCCAAACAAACTCTTAGGCTACATCTATACTACAAGGATGTGCAAGAAAGCTCTGATGGCCATTCACAGAATGGCCATCAGAGCACCTGTGCTTTTTCAGATAGGCTCTATTTGCGCAAGAAACCCTTGTGGAGTGTCCATACTTGCCTTTTTGCGCAACAGCTGTAGCGTAAAAAGGAGTTATTCCTCATAGAAGGAGACTTACCAACACCAGAAAAAGCCCTCTGTTCTGGCATTTTACTATCAATTTACTTGCGCAAAAGCACGCTTGAGGTGAGGATGCTCTGCGGGTTTTTGTGCAAAAACTGCCATTATTGTGCAAAAGCCTTGGGCCTGCATGATTTTCCGCAAATGCTTTTAACGGAAAACTTTTCCGTTAAAAGCATTTGCGGAAAATCATGCAGGCCCAAGGCTTTTGCACAATAATGGCAGTTTTTGCACAAAAACCCGCAGAGCATCCTCACCTCAAGCGTGCTTTTGCGCAAGTAAATTGATAGTAAAATGCCAGAACAGA